TGTGTATGTGCCTGCATGAATGTGCACATTGCAAAAATGTGCATGCCTGAATGTGTTAGCATGTACATACACATATGTGTGTGCTTCTCTTTGTGGCGGTGTGTATCTGCATGCACATATGTGTGTTTGTGTGTGCGTATCTTCATAAGTATGTGGGTGCTTTCAAACCCTTCATGGCCTATCCGCACCCTATCTATCGAGATGACGACTCCCATCTCCAACCAGCCCCTGATGCCAGGCTGTATCATCCACTGGTTACATTTGCAAAGAAGGATATCTGTGCTTTTGCCCATGCTGTCCCTCACACTTGGGAGAAGCTCCCTGTAAATATCAGCAAAACTAGTTCATTATCCTCTTTCAAATTCCTCCTTAAGACTCTCATTTTTCTTGACAACAGTTAAGCAGGGAGGGTGTAGCCTATCATGCTGACCAATACTGGCTCATGGTTTCCTCGTATTCCCTTGTCTGTCTGTATCCCTGTGTTGTGTCTTGTCTTATATTGTAACCAATTTGGGGACAGGGTCCAACTTTTTATTCTCTGTATAGTGCCCAGCACAAGGGAGTCCTAGCCCCATGTGTGCGCGCACGCGCACATATTTGTCTTTGCATGATTCTGCATGTCTGCCTCACAGGTGCATGTGTCTATGTTGACCTTGTCACATGTCAGTCGGGGACTTTGCACTACATCAATGCTTGGTGCATCTATCTCCATTATGTGCCAGCTAATTCTTCATCAAAGCCAACAGAATGGTGCCCTCTTGTGGGAGCTCTCTACAGTACATGGAATCTTTTGAAATGTCACAGGATTAAGATGGTGACAGTGTAAAAATACATTGAAACCCTCTTTCCTTTCCTTTATTTTTAAGTGCTGAGCCCTTGCATTGGCTACGCCTTAATGAGGCTAATGAGATGTGTGCATCTCTTCCTCTTCTGTGGACATGTTTTTTGGAAATTTGCAGATAATCCTCACAAGTGGACAAATAAAAAGTGCACCATCCTCTTCTATTGTATCTCACGTCCTGCTGGTAAATGGAGGCTGATGATAGGTGCTCCTACGCTGTGACAGAGGCAGACAGCTGCCTTTTAGGATTTGTCCAGCAGACCTCTGGGTCTGACACTGCCCTCACTTGTACCTGTTTTACACCATCTAACCCCATTGTCTTTAATGGAGTTACATTCAATTTACATTGGTGTAAATGAGAGAAGAAACATGGTCTTTGTCATGACATAGCAGCACGGCGATGTAAACAGTGTCCGATTTAAGTTAATTTGGAGATTTGTTAACGGGTGGGTGGTGCCCTGGTTAGAGGAAGTTGCTTCGTGAGTGGGATAAGAAACAAAAGCAATTTCAACAAGGGATGAATCACGTCATGTCCAAGCACCAGGCAGATGTTTCTCATCCCAGGGAGTACTACACAGAAGCGAGGGGCTATACAAAACATCAGGACGCTGACAGACACTGTGCAAGCTTCCCCTGTGCTGATCTGCCAATCACCATTGTACTAACTTTCAGCAGCTCTTGCTATTAAGGCCCTAGTAAACTTGTGCTTAACTGTATGGTGATTTGGCAATGCAGACAGACTGTACACATGGGACTGGGATCGTTCCACCAAATTGACCTAACTAGGATATAAAACTCAGGTGGTCAGAGTTGACTGGCAAATTCAACAAGCCATTGCTCTGTCACTAACCAGCCTGGCCCTTGCTTCACTGGAACTGATTTAAACCTGTTTGGCTTCAGCTTCTGCTGTCCTAGATGTTGGAGCCCTTTCTTCCTAATGGGTTTACATTTTCATAGTAGAAATCACAGTGTTTTTCTTTTCTACCTCGTGATCCTTACCTGTCTCCTCAAAGCTTTTCCCATACCATCTACCTACCAACCCTGCTCCTTTATCACAAGCCCCTGCCTGACATGTAAGGTGCCTTTCCTCTTCCCTCTCACAGGAATGGGGGTGAACAGAGTCTCATGCGAGCTCTCTCTTGTTGTACCTTACTCAGTCCTTTCTCTGCAGCCAGATGGAAGCAATGGCAGCGCTAAATCCAAGTATGAATGGCTGACACTACAGGTGCAGCAGAGTCCTGCTGAGTTCCTCTCAACTGACTTCCAACAGTGTGTCTTCTGCTGCTCCCCATTATGCTCTACATTGGTAGTGAGGAGGAGAAGAAGCCAAAGGACTTCAGAACATGTGCATGAGAGGAGAACTGTACTGTCCGCAGGGCCGGATGAAGACAAACCAAGGTGATAGGCCCTCTCCAACATAGGGATCCCCAATTGCCCTGGTCCTGCATTATGGACCTGACCTCACTTGGATTGGTAATGGCCAGGGTCACCCACCCAAGAGCTGCCCTGCTGAGGGACCCACCGCTACTCCTTTTTTTGGGGCAGGCTGGGTGTCCCCTCAGTTCAGATAAGGAAGCCCCCATCTACTCACTGGGGGACCCTGGGTGATACCATCTCACCCAAATCATGTGGGGGTGTTGCCAGTGAAGTGCCCACCCCAAGAGTCCTCTATGTGGTGGTGTTAGTGAGGGCCCCACCAGAGCAGATTTAATAGTTATCATCCAGCTGAGATGAATGGGGCAATTCATACCTCTCTGAGCTATTGTTTCACACCAGCTTCAGACTGAGCCCCTGAGACATGGAGAACCACTCCACGAGGGACAGTCTGAAATACTGGTGGGATGTGACCTGTTTCCTCCCTCTCTGTTGAGCTGCCTGCAAAGATGGCAGAGGAACTAGAGAGGCTGCACTGACCTCTCTTCCCATCCCAGGGAGTCTCTAATGTAGCCTCCTTAATCCCCTCCATGGAGTAGGGGTGGGGAGAGCAGCTGGAGCTGCCACCAAGGAGTACAGTGGGATGGGAGAGGCCAGGAGGCCATTAGACATTTTCTGTGACACAGGGGCCTTCTGACTGGGTACCTTCTACCCCACACTGCCCCCCTCATTCCCCTACATTCTTAGATGGCAAGCTGTTTTGGACAAGGATCATCTCTTTGTTATGTGTGCCCACAGTGCCTAGCACAATGCATCCCTGGCCTCTCAACACCAACCCAGTGCACATGGTAACCAATAACATTTCCGCGGGGTGATCAGGGTGGAAGAAGGGAGCATTGGCTCAGCAATGGGGAGAACTTTGGCTGAGGTGGGTGGACAAAACAATGGGAGAATATTTTGGGGGAAATAAGAAAACTGTAGCTGACAAGATATGTACCTTCGGCATTTTGTCTATCCGTTGTCAGTCTGCTGCCATTTGTCTGTCTTGTCTATTTAGGTTGTAGGTTCTCCAGAGTTACTTATGCGTTCCTATGCATGTGCACAGTGCTGAGCCCAACAGGGCCCTGATTCTGAGAGGGGCCCCTGAGTGCTACTGCAACACACATAACAGTAATGCATACTCCATGGCACCTGGTGTGGAGCATGAGCTGCCTCATGCGGACAGGGCTCAGAGGTAAGAACAGCTATTGCCTGCTGTGGAATGTCCCCATCTGGCAGTGGCACAGAGAAGGATCGCCCTCCTTCTGAGTAACAGAAATGGCACATCTACTATTTCCTTATGCCCCCATCTTCAAACACACACACGCCAGTGCTGTTCCTCTCCACCAGCCTTGTGTAAACCCCTGGCTGGCAGGGAGGAGTTGCTTTGGGCAGGTAGCACAACAAAGCCTAGGCGTTGTAAGGATGGGGCTCCATCAAATGGCTTCTCAGGGGAGCCCTCATTTGTTTGAACCAGTTCTGCATTGTGAGACATTGATGGCGTGGCCTTGAGAGGAATTCTCGGTGACCTTGGATGCACTCACGGTAAGACTCCAGCAGGGACGCATTCCATCCCAGAAAACACAAATCATCCAAAGCAGAATCCATTTCCGATGGGACTCAGACTTACATTAATAGCCACCCTCTAGGACAAATGGAATTATCTTGTTCTTGATATATTTGAAGAGTCTAAAATCACATGATACTTAATTGCCCCATTTGGCATCTTTGTTATAGGAGCATCTAAAATGGAATTGTGCCCAAATTACGCTCAGACAGGCACATCAACCTGTCTGAGTGCCAGCTCAGACACCAAAATGGAGATCTGGATATCCTTTCATTAGGTGCTTATGTTTAAAAATTACACTCAGTGGGCCAGATCCGGAGCCACTGTGGTGATGGTAAGACACACTGATTACAGTGGTACAGGAAGAGGTTGAGTGTGTGGGCAGGTAGACAGATACAGGTAATTTTAAGTACTGTATAGCAACTAAAACTGGAAACTCAGAGTCTGGGTTCTTTTCCAGCTCTCCCACTCACTTGCTGTGTGATTTTGGCCAAGTCATTTCACCTCCCCGTGCCTCATTTTATCTGCATGTAAACTGGGAAATAAGGCTTCATACCTACCTCACAGAAGGGTTGTGAGGCTCCATGAATGAATATTTGTGAAGTGCTTGGAGATTCTTGGATGAAAAAAGCTAGAGAAGTGCAAAGTATTATTACTGTAAAACAAAAACACTGTGACTGTGATTCCCCTGCTATGTGAGACAGGCTTTTAGCAAAGATTCAGAGGAAGCCAACAACAATATTCAACGCTGCACCATAAGGGACTGGGGACAAAGGAGGGACATTCAGTACTGAAGAGGGGAGTTGAAGAGATAGCCATGCACTACATTCTTTTCGGTTCTTTTTCACTCCCTTCAGTCTCGGCATTAGGGGGGAGAAGGGGTAGCAGCAAAGATGTCATCAAAACAAAATAAAACCAATCAAAACTGATGATATTAATAAGGCCCGAGGCCCAAGCATTGCACAAAAGGAGGATCAGAAATAGGCTAGGCTCTAAAAGGCAGAGATGACACCGAAACAGGGTGAGAGCGAGAATACAGGAGGGAAAAGAATAAAAGCTGATTCATCTAACGGGGGAGGAGGAGGAGAAGAAAAGGTGGGTGGGAGGGAGAAGAAGGGGTTACTTTTTTGGATTTGGGGTTTGGTTTCTGTTGGTTTGTTTTCAAAAAGGATCTCACACCTGATATTCCTCGTTCCATCCATTTCGGTTCACCAAGGGCAATGAAGAAAGTCTCCTGCCTTTCGTATTCCTCCTCATCTACTATTTTAACCCTTACGGTCTTCCTGTAGGGACAACAAGAAAGACAGCCGTGTACAGTGGGTTGGCTGGTTGGAGCGGACACAGCAGCACCACACGTTTCTCACATGCAGTCCATTCCTGCTGCTGCCTTGGGCAGCGTTTTGTTTGTTGGATATGGCACATCGGTAGTAGTTGCTCTTAGGGTGAGTGGGAAAGTATTAGAGGAGGAAGATGGGGGTGGGCAAGGGAGTGAAGGGGAAGGGGAGGGTTGGACCTTGCTGATGGTTAGTGGGAGGTGATTTCTGCAGCACATTTAGTTTAGTGTCACATGGTAATAATATCTCATCAGCTGACAGAGCATTGACCAATCAGAAATAACCCAAGGGCAAAACAGCCACAAAGATATCAAACACATTTTAGTTGAGGGACCAATTGCTTCTCCCACCCTCTCATAACTGATAAGACGTTGGATGTGGAGGTGAGGAGCAGGACAGAGAGAGAGCCATACATACATTCATACACACATGGACGTGGGTGAGGCTGGTGGCTGTCCATTCAGGGGGGAGCTCTCATTTGGCTTTGAGGGGACTGGGTGTTTTTTTTACCTCCCCCTTTTTATTTAAAAACAACAAATATTTTAGTTTCTTGTTTCTAGTTGTTTTCTAACTGTTTAATAAACATTACTCACCAGCCCTGCAGCATGGCCGTGGCTGGCCCAGGTCAGCTGAGGCCAGGCTCTTGGGGCATGGGCTGCGGGGCTAAAAATTGTGGTGTTGACGCCAAGCCCAAGCCTGGGACCCTCCAACCCTTGCAGGGTCCTAGAACTGGGCTCCAGCCTGAGCCCGAACATCTACACAGCAATTTTTGAGCCCCAGAGCCCAAGTCCCAAGAGCCTGAGTCAGTGGACCTGGGCCAGCTGTGGGTTTTTTATCCCCAGGTGTAGACATACCCAGTGAGGCCAGGCAGCCTGTTCTCCCTGAAGTCGATGGTCAGTGACTGAGAGATTCGGCTTTACCTGGGCACAGAAGTACTGTAGGTCTTTGCCACCTCTTGGGAAGAGAAACATGTATTAAAATACCCCAGAGGGCTGGGGCAGCTGGAATTAAAATACCCTGCAGACTAGACTGGCATTGCTCCTTCTTCACCCTGGCAAGCTCACAACACTATGTCTGATACCACGGCAATGCATAAGGCTGCCATGATCTCTCTCTCTCTCTCTCTCTCTCTCAAAAAAAAAAAATAAAAAAAAAACAAAGACAGGGTGTTGATTTTCTTCCCTTTCCTTATCCTGATGGCAGTTGCTCCTTGAGTCAGTCTGGGATAAAGCTAAAGGACTTTACCAAATACTTCTGAGAACTAACGTGCTGCTTTCATGTGGGCTTTGACTCTTGTATTTTTATTAGTATGGGTCTGAGGCAGGCTGACAGCTCCTCTAGGAATCTGGGTATGTTTCCTGTAGATGTTTTGCCAATGAAGCTGCACAGATAGGCATGCGGAGGTCCAATCCTTCCAGCCAACGGGAGCAATAGAAAACCCCACCACGAGCCATTTCAGCAATTTTGGGGTGGTATCCTAATCTCTCGCTTACACACACACACACACACACACACACACACACACACACACACACACACACACAGTCTCTCTATCTCGTCCCCTTCCCAAGGTCCTCCCTCCCCTCCCCCCGCAGGATAGTGCCGCATCCGGCTAAAACCCCATAGGTACCATGTGACAAGTTTGTGCGTGCACAGCAGTGTTAAGGACAGAGCGGTTGGAAAATAAAAAGAAATCGTAGAAAAAGGAAAAAACAGAGGAGAAAAGAAGGCAGGAGAAGAAAGAGAAGAGGAAAGAAGAATGTTAACATTAGTCTGGAGAACCAGTACTACACCTTTCTGTAAACTCATATCCACCATGCGTGGGCTCATCAGCTCAATGAAGAAAGTCTTGTTTTTCTCATACTCCTCATCATCAATTACCTTGATGTGAACTGTTTTGCTGTGGATTGAAAAATAATAAGTGTCATAAGGAGGAGGAGGGGATAGGAAAGCAAGGGTGGGAGAGGCTAAGAGAAACCAAAGAGGAAAATTAGAGACAGTCAAAGTTTACTCACCCACTGAATAGGCTCAAAGTGGCCCTGGAGAGAAATTTACTTCCCCTTCCTGTGTATTTACATTGGCAGAACAAAATGGGTAACTGCAAGGCAACTAATCCTTTGGCCTTGCACCTGATTTACACACACAAGTGCACACTTTGCTCACACAGTTACTCAGTGGGTGTGCACACACACACACACACTTACACTTCACAGGCACAACTTTTGCTCATAGGTCTGAAAATTTGGCCTAAAACATTCTTCCAACAAGGAAACCATAAAAGGAGTGAACAAACCAGCACCCTGTACACATGGGAATATACTGCAACTTAATCCCAGATCACCTCAATCTAAGCATACAGTAGGTTAATCTGGCTAATCAGAGTTCTACTGGACAATCTTCCTCTGGAGGCTCCCACAAGGTATGTTGGGCAGACTAACTCTGGGGCAAATTCTGACACACAGGCAAAACGCTCGTGAATTCCATGAGCATCTTCACTGAATAAGGATGAAGGATTAGCTCCCAGTCTGTGTCCCTGTTCCCTCAATTACACACACACACACACACACACACACACACACACACACACACACAGAGAGGGAGAGAGGGAGAGAGAGAGCGCAATTCAGCCTCTGCATGCCTTGAAGGCTTAGCCAGTTGGGTTGTTTTGCTTTCACTTAGTGTTACTCTCAATTGCCTCAGGATGTAAATTATACCTGCACTTTGCTTTTTTTCTTGTTGATCGGCAAGAAGGGCTATATGAAATCACATCCCTCCTTTCTCACTGTAAAAGGAGCTCATGCTTTCAGGCTCTGGTGCAATTTCTCACACTTTTTAATGCAAAGCAGTTTGTGTGTGCATTGACGTTCATATATTATATTTATATTATCTATGCTCACATGTATTTATACATTATAAATATGTGTATGTATACACTTCAGGGCTCCCAAACACTGCAGAGACACTGAAAGCCCTCAGTAGGCAAGCTCTGTGAGTTACAATTAAATTCTGGAACTGTCGTCACCTAACATTTCTGAAATAAGAAATTTGTAGCAAATGCCCTACATTTCTCTAGCCATAGGTCAGTTCTCCCTGAAGACCAAGCCAACTAGCTAATTCATCACATGATGGGTCCTGAGCCTGTGAATGACTTAACCTCCAAACAATTCCCTCCTCCACACAGGCTTCTTCTGCACAGTCCTCCTACAATGATCTCTGCAAAATTCCGACACCTCTTCAATTTTGGACCATCACGTGGTATACTAAATGTGTCTAACCTATTGTGTCTGTGTGCAGAAAAGAAGGAGAACCCGTGCAGTTAAATCACAGGACTGGAAATCATGGGATCTGTGTTGTATGTTCCTATCTCTTTAAGTAGCTTTTGGTGCCTCCGTTTCCCCATGTGTAAAATGATGTTGTTAACACCTCACTCACAGGAATGTTGGGAAGTTTCCTCCATTAATGTCTGCGATGTGCATTCAGACCCTTGGATAGAAAGTGTTAGAAAACTGGAAAGTATTATCATACTGCTCTAGATTGTAACTCCTCAGGGCAAGGACTGAATCTCCTACATATGTCCAGTACAAGCACTATGTCAGCACTCAATAATAGTAATAATAACCTTGAGATAAACTAGAGACAGTGGCTTACACTACAAACATATATTCCACCAACAAAGTCAGCTGACTTTGGAAATATTCATCAGTAGTATGGACCGGTGCTTCTTCATTCCTCAGCCAAGGTGACAGGAGTTATTTACTTTCCTGTTATGAGAGAATGAGTTGGTATCACTGGTCAGTTATCAGCGTTTTCTATGGAGCTACCACTTCGTTATCTCTAAATACTATGCAGGTATTTCTTCCTCCACAGAACTCTCATTGACTTCGATGGGACTTGAGTGTGTTGACCTGACCATCCGGAAGATCAGGCTCTAACTCAGTAAGTAAACCACAAATTCATAAATATTCAGGAAATCCCTATGGTTCTATGAAGGAAAAAAAATGAGAGGCTCAATCCACTATCTCTGAGGTCTTGCAGCTCTTTGCTCATGTCTTAATGTCCTAGTTGTATATAGATCAAAATTGTACACAGCCAACTTACTACAAGTACCAGGCACGACATTTACTTCAGCATCTTAAAATTAAGAGTGCTTCAGAAAGACAAGCGTTCATCCCTGCACTCAAGTGCCGCTGCAACCCAAACCCCTCTGCTGATGCCCCTGCCAAAGTGCATAGTGCTGTCATCAAAGACCTGGCTATGTCGTAGAGTAAACCAAACAGTTCCCATGATATCACCTCGCCAAAAGCCAGACCAGGGTTAATACTGTAAGTACTGAGCCATGCCTGCTGGGTAATGACTCAGAAAAGTGCCTCACTTAAGAGTAATATAGGAAAAAGAACATTTGTCAGTTCTACAATGCTGTAACATTGGGGGACGGCTCCTTCTGGACACCTGAAAGTGACCATTTTACACTATGAAGCATGAGGTTTGATTAACTTCATTACTCAAGCTTGCATACCTACAGCTATTAGTAAGCATCATAAGACTATGCAGTCCTCCTACAAATGTCCAGCCACAGCATTTGACTCAATGGCCTACCGCCTATAAGGTCCTACTGTCCGACCACACCGTGGAAAGCAGTTACTTTTAGTGGTTCTCAGTTTGATCTAGCCCTCTTAGTCATCCATTGATTATAGTATAGGAGTAAAAATAGAGACTGATGAGCTTTCACTGTCTTTCATCATTACGAATATGCAAGAGGAATCACTTGTAATCTTTCTTCTTGCTAGGTTAAATAATCCTGATTTTTTGCCATCACTTGCTGTACAGAAATTGTGTATTAATGCTAGACAGTCTCATCTCCCTTGTCTGGACATTTTCAGTCTCCACCAATGCGGCTTGAAGGACATAGGATTTTAAACACTGTATCTCTGATGAAAACCTGAGTACTG